CCCCCCCCCATTTTTATTTCTTATTTAAAATTTAGGTATTACTTGATTGAATTCTGGTATTAGAACCTTCATGGAAGCATTTTAGTAGTTTTCCCGCCAGCTCAAAGTTGAGCATTTTTCCCAAAAATGTGCGACAATTCCCGCGCGGCCAAAATTCCTCTGTGACGTCATCAGTTGTGTAGATTGCACCCGGAAACATGACAGATAAGTGAACTCAAAGAGTCTCCAGGAAATCTTGTGTAGCTGGTGGCCCTTGATTAGTCAGCTGCACAAGTTCAAGTGAAACCCTGGGCATATCAATGCATCTTTTTCCTTCTAATGAAATTTTAAGAAAGAAATGGACGAAATTCGTCCATAAACATCGGCCAGGTTTTAAGTCATCAAAGACCTCAGTGTTGTGTTCTGTGCATTTTGTGCCAGACAGCTTTTGTCGAAAGATCAGCATTAGAGATCAGCCAAGCATTTGAAGGCTTGAGAAGGGAGTATTCCCAATGATCGATGTTGCAGTCAAGCAAGAGAATAGCCCAGAAGGGACAGATCGAGGACAGAGGAGGGTAAGTTATATTCGAATAATTTAATTAATTGCAATTGACATGTCTACTGATCATGTTTACTTTGATGAATTCGATCTTGATATTACCACTCTTATTAATAATCTGTACACAAATTTATCTTTTTTTTCAGGCGGTCAGAGAGGTCTTAAACAACACAGTTGTTCTCCTTCACCGACTGTGAAACTTGTGTAGTGATCATTACTTGTTGGAAATATTTGCTCTGATTTTATTTACTTGACATTCAGTTGGCATTGCCATGTGAGGGATAAAGCAATCTGCTTTGCCAGCTTATATTTGACTGATTATTGCCAAGATTATTTGGTGGCAGAACTAGCAAAAAAAAGAACGTATTATTTTTTGCAAAATTACAAATCATGAGGATGGAAATGCAAACAGACACCTTTTCGTTATTATTTTTTAACTTTTTATTTAATTAGTTGCTGAACAAGATTCCATGCAGTCTTCACAAATTAAACTTGCTGAAAAGAACCTCCAGCAAAGAAAATGACCTACACTTGCTGCAAATGCAAAAAACCAGGACATCGACGTAACCACTGCCCCACACTAATGGATGCCTAACATGTAAAGAGCATGAATAATTGTCATCACAGCAAATTTTTCAGCACTAGGCATCTTGTTTGATATTGTTTTGAAAAGTTCACATTTAAATGTTAGGGACCCAAAATTTGCAGTTGCTAACTTTGATATTGTTCAGTGCATTTTTGGCCAGGGCTAGGGGGGAGGGGGCACTTGACCCATGTTTAGGTATAATGTGCCATTGGGTTGTTGAAACCCTGAAACACCCATTGTTTCTTCCTGTCATCAGGATGTACTGAAAGTAATTTTGTCAACATGCAGTTGTGTTATAATGCTGACAGGACAACTTAAAGGTACCGACAACAATATTGTTCTGAAAAATAATTTAATGCCTTCTAAATAAATACWGATAAACATCCTACTCAATGAGTCTTGCAGAGGTACCCTGTCAGACCCTAATTAGGACAGCCCGCTTGAAATTATATACCCATGCAGGGTGGAGGGATTAAAAACCTTACCCTATCCAGTGGTGCATCATGATGTAGCCCATATAGGAGAGTAAACCCCCCCCCCATCAAGGATTTATTGCAGCCTAAATTACTGAGTGTAGTAAGCTACAGAAAAATAAGGAGATAATTGTGGAGCAAGTCAATTCAAATTTATTTATAAAATTCTATTAGAAATAATAGGACAATAATGATTACATCTCAGTTCCTTTCTTCTGCTGATGTATGTCCAGTTGTGCTGTGGGACTCACACCTAGATCTGATATTGTGGTAGACACATGCTGGCAATGGCCTACTATTCTCCCAGCCCAAGTAGCTGAAGATCCATCAAACCAGCCACCTGTAGGCTGAAGCTCTAAGAAATCTGTGATACAGGTTTGAAGACATAATTTACTGTGAGAAAATCAACATGATTTGTCTTGCAGATGGACAAAAAAGATCCAGGACAGTCTTGAATACAGAGGCTGACAAAAAATTATTTACCAATTGTAAATCTTGCTGTTATGTAAACAATTGTCCTCACTCGTTTTCTGAGGTGCCATTCCTGCGGCGGGACGTTTTCCCATTTCTGTCCCGAAGTAACGGTGCCACCTGTCTCCAGACTGTGTGATGCACGATATCCATTCAATACTTCCATCAAATGTAAGTTTTCCACGTGCACAGTCCACTTCCATGCTGCACCTAAACTCGCGAGCTGATACCAGCATAGCATCGCTGCACTGGGTAAAGGAACACCTGATGAAAAATAAAACCATGGTGAGCTTATCTCGTTCTCAAGTAGAAAAAGATAAAAGCTAATTTTCCCAGTGCAATTGAAAGGCTGGACGCAAGAGCATCCCTAAGGTTGGTTGTAATTTTACCATCATGTTTCATTTTAGCTTTAGCGTATACAAACGGGGTACATTAGAACAAGGTAAGACACACTTACCATGTACTAGCAGGTTCCATTTTCTCAAATCTTCGCGATAAAGTGGCAGAAGATAAGCCATCTTCATCCTTGTCATTCCTCTTCTTGTCCGTTGCTGTCACTCTCATCGGAGTTCACCAAAGGTTCGTCTTGGTAAGCGACTATCTCGCCCATGATGCCTGTACTGACTTCTTCAGAACTTGAGAATGATTCTACATCATCCTCAGATGATGTATAAGAGAACTCCTGGGCTAAACTTCAGAATACCCGGCCACTCATTTACATGTCACTAAATAAGAATAGCGTCTATTGTGTTATGCCTCATTCTTCAAAGCCTTCCGACACATGTAAATGATGTGAACGGGTATTCTGAAGTTGCTCCAACTCCTGATTGCTGTGATCGGTTTCCGACATATTTAGCTCGTAAACGACAAGTAGAATAACTCAAAACAACGGCTTGATCACTCGGAACAACATCTCCAACACAACCGATGACGTGACAGCTCTATTATTCCTTCCCAGGCTCTTGTCCCATATTTTGCAGAAAAAATGCGAACTTTAATCGCATTTTAAAATGTGTTCTTGAAACGTTGTGACTTACTTTTTTTTGCTGAAATACTTCTCATAACATATATTTTTGAATGTAAGAAAAAATAAGGAGGGTAAAATTTCGAGTCATGTGCACTTTAAAAAACTTAACTGCATGGTGACCCATGCATCAGTCTCAGACAGACCAGAAATTTTCACATTGCATCATATAGCCTGGTACCAAATTTCCAGGCCTCCAAAAAGACATTTGGTCCATCAAAAGCTCCACAATTCAGCTTAGATTTATTTGCTGATCTTGGCTGGACTTGTTCCAAAAGTTAACTTAGTTTATAATTAAGCAATAAAATTTGACTTCTTTCAAAACATCCATCAACTGCTCTCCAATTTTATCTTAAAGTGGCCCAATCAAATGATTTTAGTTGTATCTTTTCACATTCAAATTCACATACCTGTTGGCAGTTCAGTCTCTAACAACTCAGTTTTAAAATTCATGTTGTTTTTCAAATTTTCTGCACAAACAGCTAATGATGTAAAAAATATATTTTGCACCACTACATTTATATTTACTGTTGAAAAAAGGTCAAGAAGATTTGAATGTGATAAAAAATATTAACAATAAAGATAATTGTTAGTTACTTAAAAAAAAAAAGAAAAATTGAAGGGCATTTCATCCAAAAATACCTACACCATTAATCTACATTTACTTAATCCTTTGGTACTAGCAGTGAGCACACTTTCAAATAAGGTGTTAAATATCAATATAAGGCACAACGAATTCAGCTTCTATTTCCCAGAGTAGAGGGGCTGGGATTGCAATTGACTAATGCGCATCATCATTATTACTTAAGCAACTTGTGCAAAATTGGAAAATATGGTACACTGAGTTGTTGGGGTCTATAAACAACACACGATGACAATTACATACCAGCAGAATCTAGATCATCAAGACTTTTTTTTTCTTCATCATTCTCACTCTCACTTGGATCCCTGTCTCTGTGATCTGTTGCATGAATACCATTTATAAGAAAAAACAAATATTAAATACCTGCTGATAAACTGTATTTTACAAAACAAGACTACTTTCCTTCATTTATTAAGTAGATTATAAAACCTTTCATAATCATTGTTGGTGGTTTATTCTTACTGTGATCATGATACCTCACTGGTTGAATAAATTTTAGTAACTACCTTTCAACTTCAAAAAAGAACTTCTTTGAGAAATGTAGATTACTAAACTTACATTTGATTGACTAAAGAGTATTCACAAAGACCTTGGAAAGGATTGCAGTTGCCTTAAGTGGTATATAATTTTAGAAACTCACTTTTACCAAGCAAGCACTTTACCCACAACAGAAATTAAATCAAAAGCTTTGAATGTACCATAAGGCTAATATTTCTTCCACAGTTCGGTATATTGCATATCATAATTTGTTCAATAAGACTGTCACTGACATTGAGAAACTTAAAACTGTGTTTGGTAAGCTTGACGAAAAACAAATAAAGGGGGTATGTCTCTAAAGAAACTGTGGTGCTGCATTGGTGGGGGTAACAAGGTAATTTGGTTTTATTAACTAAGTTGAAAATGTAAATTGGCCCCCATAAAGAGTTAAAAGGCTGATGTTTTGAGCATTAGCCCTTTGTCAGAGCATATGACAAAGGGCTGACATTCAGTGCAAGAACAGGCCCACAGGAAATTATGTAGAGGAAAATTTAAATGCACCAGCACACCCCCTCCCCCTCCCCATCCCCCTCTAAGATATGACTGGTTCATTAGAGAGAAAATCTGATTTGCAACCCTGGTCTTCCTCCTCTAAAAACTATATATTGAAACCTTTGCTATTGTAATAGACCTCTTTCAGTAGCTTAATTGCAAAATAAGATGGGCAAAACTGAATAAATACAACAAAGGTTCTTGGAACTCAGTGTCATGAGCCATCTTAACTTACCAAGTTCTGTCTGTGTTATGAAATAGGGAATAGGTTGTCCATCAGCATCCTCTCCTACAACACCAATCACACCCTCTGTTGTAATAATAGGCGATCCAAGAACAACAGACTTCTCGATGATACATTTCTCCCCCTCAAAAGAATTCAGTTCATGCTTTTTCGTTTCGCGTTTGTACTTGAATTTAAATTTCAACGGTTTGTTGCTTCCGATAAATGACTGTGCCCAGACATCTTTAACAATTACGTCACTTCTTGGAATAATCAACTTAAGGATGTTAGAATCAGTTGTAGTCTTGAGTGTCTCAGACGCGTTGCTACCTTTAAGAGCCTTCACTGAAATAAACGAACAGCTGCCAGCTTGCTTAATCGCTGATATTTCTAGCCTATATCTCTTCTCGTCGTTATGAAAGTTTCTCGAGCCCCGATGCAATTTCACTGACTCGATAAGGGCACGATCATCCTCTTTGAAAACACCCTCCCAAGTTACCAAGCACTGCTTCCCTCTCACATCAACGGCACATGCCATTCCTCTTGTTTGGTAAATAGGAAGACCGCAGACAACCTCTCTTACTGCAAAGATGGCTTTCTCGGAATCTTTTCGGGAATAATCCATTGCCTAGTCTTGCTCAAAACGGGGCCTCGTGAAACTCCGTAAGATTGCAATAGCTACTAACAATAGTGTGGTAAGACTAAATTGTCATTCTTTCTCAGCGTACTTATATTTCAGGTGTATCCTCAGACATATGGTGTACACTCGATCAGTCAGTGCTGCACTGGAGAATAAGAAAAAATCTTGGTTGCCAGCTTCGGAGCGAAAATAGCGGAAATAGAGCAAATTGTCTAAGTGGTCAGCAGTCTTTCGCAGACCTTGAGCGTTCTATATTCTTCCGCTTTCCGATTTTAAATGTCTCCTTCAGACTACTAGCGGTTCCCGTCATCAAACACTCCTGAAAGACTGAGACTGTGTTGTTTTTGTGCCCGCGAGAAAGTCACTATGGTTCCACGTTCGTTGTGTATCAAGCTCGCAGTCATCTTTGCGATCGTTGGATTGAGTTTTGAGTTCATTCTTGGAACCTGCATTGAACGCGACGACCAAATATACAAAAGTATTCGACGTCTTCTGAGCCTCCTTTTGACAATTATTTCAACATATCGAGGGCTGTATATCCCTCTGTGAATCTACCTTCTTTACTGATCGACATCACGGTGAAATTCCTGAAGACAGCTGGGGCAAATTCAAACGGAAGTAACAGTTCACATACTTCGAAGGAAAATGTTTCTCGATCAACAACATTTGAAATCAGGAAATTTAAGTGGAGTATGTCGTGCCTGTACGTCAGCGGAGGAGAAATCAGCCTGATTTCCATGAACTGGTTTTCCTTGGGGGCGATTTTTCCAAACAGAAGACAAAGGGAATTGCACATAACACTACCAGAACTCTGCAGACACTCTCCTGTCTACAACGAAGACACCATGATATACTTCCTTTCCACGGTAAATGACCATTCTATTCTGAGTTGTGTTTTGCTTTCCAGATTTAGTTTCCTAGTTTAAATGTCTTCAAAGAAAGCGAGGGAGTCGCCTACAAACTGGCTCCGGTTAGAGGTTGTTTCGTCTGAAGCAGCCAGTGGACCGGGGGGAGGGGGCGAGAGTAGAAGGTGAGTCGACCACACTCTTTCCCCCAACCCCCTGACTCTTTCTCCTCCAGCTTTCCTCTTCGCCCTTTCCTCGCGTGTTCACAGGCTAACATTAATGAAGGAACAAAGACCCCCCCGCGTGCTAGTCTCAAGGGAGAAGTGACTAAATGTAAATGTTGACTATTTAACAAATGGTAAACACCACAGCGTACACTATTGAGTTATGGATGCATGCGGGAGGCTGCGAAGCACGATCGATTGGTTTTAGTTTTGAATCTGATGGGTTCAGAAAGTGGTGCGAGTTTTCTGGACCAATCACATAACGAAGTAAAGCAAAAACGAAGCAATCACGGATAACTTTCAACAGCTAAAGTGATTCCTTAGTATTGCAATGCCCATTCTGTACTGCGCATAAAAATATTAGTTACACAATCAGACACGGTATGGTTTTTCAATTAATGGCCAGGTAAAGAGGTACGATGGTCTTTAGTTCTTGAACGAGCACAGTGATTTATATTTTTTATTGCGTAATTTAAATTAAAGGAATTTAAAACAATTCATCGAAGAGGAAAAATGTACAGATAAAGGGATGGCGGAGAGAGGTGGGGCGATAAAACTAGCGGTCCGCTCCTCGTGCATTGTGCAGTGTGGAGTAGGAGTGGCACGAGCACCCTTTCTGCGCTTTCGGTGCGTCATTAAGTCGGCAAAATTTTCCTCTCACCAATCAGAAATCTCTTTTTCTTTCTACAAAGATTTCATGATAATGCGTCATGATGTCCCATTACAGGTGTGTGATTACAGCCAACCGTCCGATTACAACCCTACAGAATAATTAGTAAAAAAATATTGCAGCTAGTGCATCAATCACATTTGAAGAAATTGTTATGGCAATTTCATAATTAAAAGTACCGAGATCAAAACATGATGTTTCGGCGACGACGCATCACCATTATCAGATGTAAATCATTACAACTTCAGTGACGTTTATACAGAAAGGAAAGTGTGAAATTGGACAAGAATAAAATGAGATGGAGTAAAACAAAAGAATGTACATGATTAAATGAACAGTTTCGCTGGAATGGAGTCCTTTTGAGTATTAGAGTCGTCCTCTTTGTCCTTATTAAAAGCATCTCATGAATAAGGCACTCAAACTTTCCGCAGCATTTCTTTAGGATGGCAGATTTCTCGTTAAGATTGTTCGGTCTTTGCTTGCTTCTTAGTGAAGGATTCCACAGCAGCTTTAAGGAACTTAATTTTATTTCTTCTCTTTTTCACTGACTATTTTTGCAGAAAAAGAAAGATAGAAAGAGAGAAACAGCGCTTAAGCGGCGTATGGAGTCTTTTTGAGTGTTAGAGTCGTCCTCTTTTTCCTTAATAAAAGCATCTCATGAATAAGGCACTCAAACTTTCCGCGGCATTTCTTTAGGATGGCAGATTGCTCGTTAAGATTGTTCGGTCTTTGCTTGCTTCTTAGCGAAGAATTCCACAGTAGCTTAAGAACTTAAAAAATTATTTCTTCTCTTTTCTCGCTGGAAAAGAAAGATAGAAAGAGAGAATTAGCGCCTAAGCGACACGTGACATCATCTATATCCTTACTATTGAGGATATGGAAGAAACGCTTCTCGGGTCCCGGATGTATATTTTGTTATATTTTCCAGTGAAACGCTTGTGTCGATACAATAATGATTTTGATTATTGTTTTGTAGTTGCAAGATTTAGCGGTTAGTCCACTCGTTTTCGATCCAAGTCGGAACACAGTTGAGTGCGTCATTCCATATGATAATGATGATGATAATGATGATGGTGAGAAGGCTCCACTAAAGAAACTACTTCCTTCTTTGTGTTGGATTTTGCTTTATGTAAGCTTTGTCATGAGCGCTTTTTCATCGCAGTGCGTGATAAAGAAGCTAAGAACATGGAACACAAACAAAATTTGGAACAAAACTGCAGCAGCAATGATTTTATCTGTATTAATTTTTTTGGGAGGACTTACTGTAAACATTTGCGCACTTGCAAAAACTAACGATTGTTATGTTGGAGTGTTTTTGGGGTGTACATTTATCGTGCTTCTTCGACGAGTAGTCTGGTGTGTCTACATAAACAATTTGAATATTTGCAATTTGAATATTTCTGCATGCCTTAAGAGTCCTTACCGACACCTAACCAATGGTCATGGATACTTGACTAGCAAAAACCTATATTCTTGTGTTTTTGTTTATCCAGCAATATTTATGGCATGTCATCACTTACTATGGATTTTGCTTGGTATAATAACAGAACCATTTTGGGGTTTTACAATTTTAGTGGCTGTTATTGCTGTCTGCGCAATTTTTTTCTTCCTACTTTCCGAGCTCTGTGATGTTTTTCCCGCACCTAATAATTATCAAGCATCAGAAGAGCCTAGCGCAAACAAAGACAAGTTTGTGATTACCATGTCTGTTACTCTTACCCTTGCCGTTCTATCTGCATTTGTGTTGTTGTTGCTAGTTTTGTTTGCAGTCGCACAGGTTTTTCTAAGCGAGAGTTTGATTTCTACATTGGTTCAAAATATTTTGACGTTTGTTGTAACTGCATGGTTTGGATATTTGGGGGTCAAAGGAGGAGTTCGTTAGATTGTAAGGGGGGCCAGTAGCTCAGTAGCACCCTGAACCCTGGCTTTTAGTACCTCTCTCCACGTAGTAATGCCAAACAATTACCGGTCAACTGCAGGGAAACCTGTAAAAATAAAGGGAGGGGATGACCCACGATGGACTATCATCCTATCACCATCTTAGTCGCTCGATGCTTTAGAAACTAATGATAAGTACAGGTAGCTAGCTTACTTAACTTACACCCTTGTCACTCTCTATTCGTTGAACGACTCCAGAAACGTGCAATGCGCATTATTTATCCAGAGCGCAGTTACGCTGAAGCACTTAATTAAGCTGGCCTCCAACCACTCTCTAAAAGGCGTCAGGTCATTACGTCAAAGTTCTTCGAACGGATCGCCACCGATAAGAATCATAGACTCCACCCTCTTCTCCCAGAAGTGAAAGCCTTGAACTATAATCTTAGGAGAAGTTCGAAGTTTGTACTACCTAAATGTAAAACGAAGCATTGTCAATCCACTTTTATTAATTATAATTCAAGTTTTTTATAATTCTTAATAGGTAGAATTACGATGATTGTCTAGGATCGTCGATATTCATATTTTACATATTCATATATCCATATATGCATATATTTCTCTTAGTGTATTTCAGTTTTTGACTGCAACTCTTTTAGCAAATAAACCATCTATCTATCGTATTCTAAGTAAACATCAAGGACCATGCAATTTTATTGGTTCTAGAATAGTATACAATTACTACTTTGAACAAATTAGCGTCAAAGGTAAACGGGTAGAATATCATAATAATAAAATTATTAATTCATAACGCGCCTTTTCCATGCAGATATGATCAAATGCGCGGTACAATGCTATGAAAAAGTTAGAAAGCAAATTAAAACTAAAATGTACAAAGTAATTAAAGGTAATCAGTGCATAGTAATTAAAGCTTAAAAGGTAACGTATTATTCACGTCTTTTAACTCTCCTCTGAAAGTCACCTTTATTTTAAGCCAAAATAGTAGTTTATTGACGTTTACATCTATTACTAATACAAAATACCCTTCGAGAATGAAGGAAACCTAGATGAGGGTTTTGAGAAACGTATCTCTATAGTTATTTTTGCAGGAGAAAGGTATACTTTAAAACAAAGAAAATGACCAGCGTGGTATAATTAGGATAGTTTTGACAACAAGACAACATTTCCTCATTCTTGATGCTTCAAACGATCCCTGCATTTTAACTAAATTTGGACCTGATCTGCTCTTTACCAATCAGAAATGTTGTTCAGTTTGGAGGTTCAGATCAACTGGAGATGTAGATGTGTTTGCTGGTAAAGAAGAAGGCTCCTTGGATGAACCAGTGACGACATGTATGTTGTTTTAAGCAACCGAGAATCGCCATCGAGTTTGACAGTGTAGTGTATGTGTGCGATGCACAAACAAACAGCATCAAACTATTGAGCAAAATTAACCGTTGCGCAAAGTTCCTCAGGGCAATTGGCGCAATCTACGACGCTTTCTCTGTTCATAACAAGGGCGCTTCGTATGAGTCGAAC